CTCCTCTGGGCTCCTGACTCTTTCTGCAGCCTTTCTACTGCTACTCCTAGGACCCTTCTAACTGCTGTCTTTCTGCCACACCCCTGATCCTCTGGTAGGAAAGACCTACACCTAGCCTTCTCGGACAAGAGCGAAAAAGCTCGGAGCGCCCTGGTGCAAGATGCGCACGTTAAAGATCCCTTGGCGGTCTAAAACCGATTAGAGTAGGCTTCGATAGTAAGGATGAGGAAAGAAAAAGCAGCTATGTTGTTCCGGCACAGTATGAGCACGACATTGATAAATCAGCCCATTTACAATTTACAATTCTACTGTGCATAAGAGCATGTTAATATCCCTCCTTTGGGAATGGCCTCAAGACAACTTCAGTCAGAGGGCGTGAATGAGAGCGTTTTACAGCGGATATCCGACACGATATTAGCCGTGTTTGTTCGCCTGTCACGGTTTTATGAGGGTGGATCCGGTATTCTCTTCTCCTGCCCTCTGACCTTTGAAGTGATTCGTGCTATCTTTTAGGTCCTGCTATCGAGGCGCGAGTGACGCGAGAGGAAATTTTAATCGTTAACCCTTTAACGCGGAAGTCACACCTCACAACGGTTCTTTTAAAGTTTTAGTAAGAGTTTTACAGCACTTACAACACAGTAAGGTTAGTTTAGTTTTTAGTTTTTGTAGAGGTTTTGCGGCGCTCGCAACAACTCTATGGGGTCATAATATGAGCGCCAGAAGATAAGAGCTGTTACAAGAGAGTAATAAACATAAAAAAAGAATAAGGGGAGATAAGGACGATAGATGTTTGATAGGAAAGAAGAAGCAAACCACACCACAGCACCCGCCAATCACCCACAAAATAAGGTTATAATATAAGTGCCGAGGATTAGAGATGTTACAAGTTACAAGAGAGTTGCTTACGTACTGATCCCATAATCCACGAGGATCGTAGGGGCGCTGTACAACAGAGATCCCCCCCCCCCCCCCCCGGGGGCGGTGCTACTGACTGAAGTGTCTTTAGGCCATTCCCAAAGAGGGGGACATTAACATCTCGAGTTCTTATGTACAGTAGAATTGTAATTGTAAATGGGCTGATTCAACAATGTCATGCTCATAACTGTGCCTGAACTGCAACAAGGAACTGCTGTTTTTTCTTTCCTAATCCTTACTATCGTCATTTTTCCCTCTACTTATTTTGTATGTTTGTCACACTCTTGTGACCCGCTATTTTCTGGGTGCCTTGATAGTCGAAGCAGATTCTGTGCTGTTGAAGCTAGAGGGGTGAGCAGAGTAAGTCTGATTTAAGGACGATTCAACGTTTCTAGAAAAAGGGGGTGGGCGGGGGGTAAGGGGAGGGGGCATTGTCATATTTTGTTTTCTGATGATAACACGAGGTGAACGTTCAGACAACACGCACTAGATATATAGATACAGATAATAAAATTAGATGTTTAAATATGTTTCGTTTTGTTTTTGTTTGTTTTTGTTTGTTTTTGTTTTAATTAAAAAGACCCCCACATTTTACTATTTTATTATTTTTTTTGCAAAGCGAAATAGTTGACGAAAAGACGAAAAACTTCCTTTTTTAACATTTACGTTTTGTTTTGTATTATTTTGTTTGTTTCTCCAAACTCTGTTGCGAGAACAGCTTTTATAACTTTTTAATTTTTTAGTCGATTTAATTAAAGCATTTAATTATGCTTGTACGTGAATCTATGCTTTGTCACTACAGATACAATTAAAATTTTTATCTCTCATTTCAAAAAGAGAAGATTGCGAAGTTCATCTACCGCGAGTGGTACCGCGAACAGGTCGGCCTTAGCAGCGAATGAAATCTCAGAATGGATTTATTGTGTTGGAAAATACAAAAGTCCTGACCCACCCTCAAATTGCGCAATTACAATTAAAAACTCTTCAAGCAGCAATTATTTCATAAATACTTAAACGTTTGCCACTGTTCAACTTTCTATTAAGGACATGGTTTAACCCCCCCCCCCCCAAACCTAAAACAACATTCTTTTTCTTCTTTTACCTCCTACGTCAGAGTTCAATGATTGCATCAGCGGACATTGCCCTTTCTCCGGGGCGTATCGTGATTTCTGAGACACCAATCGGCTTTGTTCCTGTATTTGTCGCCAAAATGGCGTTTCTTTAAATTTGTGAGGCAGCGTGGTGGAATCAGGCTCTCGTCAGTTTCTGGGCATATTGAGTTATTGGTATCATCTAAAAGCTTGTTCATTTGTCTTGCTTTCAATGAAAAAAATACCCATCCGTCTTCAGTAGAAGTGGAGATATTTTGGATTGAAAGAGGTGGGGGTCACCTGGTTTAAGAGGTAAAATTAGCGAGAAAATGGTCGCCAAATCTTGGTAAATTCCAAAGCTGGAGAGTCCACGGAATCTGTAAATTTATATTTTTGTGCCTTTAATCAACGTTTTGGGTGAAATCCTCAAAGGAATGTATTTGTAAATGGACATAAAAGGTGTTGAGAGAAAAAACTAAAATTTGTTAAAAATTGCTAAGCAGGGAGAAAACTGCTGTTTTCTTCGATTTCATCATTTTGACGAGAGCCTGATTCCACCACGCTGCCTAACATTTTCTATTCAATGAAAGCGTTTTCACGCCGGCATCGATACAGTTTAGGTACTTTACGTTTAAGAGATGGTTTTCCGACTCTGTCTGTCAGGGCTAACACGGGCTGAGAGGGATACAATATCACAGCAGGGCCAACTGGGGCTGAGAGAGATACAACATCCCAGCAGACAGACTTCTGACTCTATGTGTCAGGGCTAACGCGGGCTGAGAGGGATACAATATCACAGCACGGCCAACTGGGGCTGAGAGAGATACAACATCCCAGCAGACAGACTTCTGACTCTATGTGTCAGGGCTAACGCGGGCTGAGAGGGATACAATATCACAGCAGGGCCAACTGGGCTGAGAGCTAGGGATACAACATCCCAACAGGGCCAACTCGGGCTGAGAGCTAGGGATACAACATCCCAGCAGGGCCAACTCGGGCTGAGAGCTAGGGATACAACATCCCAGTAGAGAGACCATCGAGATACTCGATAAGGAATTTTCTAACCACTCGGGAAGCGAACTTGGGTCTCCTGCACGCGACAGACAGCGAAGTGTCTCACCGCTACACCATGGACCATGGTAATGGAATTTTTGTGACAGACGAATCAAGTTTGCTTGTGTCTTTGTTCTAGTGGCAAATCTGAAACAGACGAATAAAGTTTGGTCATTTCTTTGTCCAAGTGGCAATTCTGTGACACACGAATCAGCAGTAAAGCCTGTTGGCACTTACATGACCAAAATTGAGTTGATAGTGCCGTAAAACACATACTCAATCAATCAATTTTAAAAAAACAGCAAACAAACAAAACAAAAACAGACGAATCAAGTTTTTGTGTGTCTTTGTCCAAGTTGCAATTCTGTAACAGACGAATAAACTTTGGTCATTTCTTTGTCCAAGTGGCAAATCTGCGACAGATTAATAAACTTTGGTCTTGTCTTTGTCCAAGTGGCAATTCTGTCCGATACATGATCCCTACGTAAATTCTACGTGATCCAAAACTTGCAGATTCATTATCCTAAAATATCATTTTAAGGGGATCCATCTTTACATTTTTAGTATCCTTGTTTCCCCTTTTCCAACTTTTCTTTCTTTTTTTTTGGCGCAATCGTCAGGAAGTCTGGGTTTCGAGTCTGGTGGTTTGGTTTTCGAGAGTATATTTTTACGACAGCACTAAAACTAGTTGAAGTGAAAAGACGCCCTTCGTAGGTCGTGTAAGCCGAGCTAGAAACTGCTTCCCGCGGCATCTCAACGGATTTACTATCAGTTTCGGAAATTGGGTGTGTTAGCCAAGGGCGACGGAGAGAGAGGCGGACAGTATGCGCATTATGCTTCTGTCCTTTACAACAGCATTGTTAAAGTACTTTGCCGCGAGTCGAAAAATGAGGACGATAGGGAGTTAGAAGAGAGAGAGAGAGAGAGAGAGAGAGAGAGAGAGAGAGAGAGAGAGAGAGAGAGAGAGAGAAACAAAGAACTCTGTCTTCTTTTTGATGGTTTTGAATATGTTTTGGAGTCTGCATATTGTGCGCATACGTTGGACTTTATCGTTCTAAAATCATATTTTATCTGTCTGTCCATTTAAAAGTTATTTCGTCTTTTTGTTTTGTAACTTTCTGTGTTGCTCAAAATGTTCACTTAAATAACGAATCTTGCTTAAGCTATGCTAACCTTCTTCTAGGCCCATCACATGCAATTATACCACCTAAACTGTAATTTATGACATCATATTTTTAAAAATATTGTTTCGTTTTGACTGATTTACAGATTAATGTTTTCGTTTATTTATTCTTTTCTTCATGTGTTCATGTATTTATCAATCTTAGGAATAAATTAACTATAACTAGTTTGTTAATTCATTAATTGATTAATCTCAAATTGCTATTAGGTCTTTTTATTTATCGCTGTCGATTTAAGTGTACTTTTAGATCTTAGGTGGGGCGGCGGGGGCTCATAAAGGGGTGGGAGATAGATAGATCGATCGATCGATCGATCGATAGATAGATAGATAGATAGATAGATAGATAGATAGATAGATAGATAGATAGAT